TATTATATGTGTATGTGTGTATATGTGTATGTGTGTATGTATGTGTCCTATCTTATCCTTAATGGCTAACAATTATTATAATTATTTTATTATATATATTGAATTTAAAAAATAATATGATGGCTTGAGCGCACATCATTACAGTTCATAATATCTAAGCTTTGACAATTAGTTTCCACGAAACTAAGCCTTTTCTGTCAATTTTATTTTGTCTGTAGTCTTCATATATTTKTTGAAAAGTTTCCAAACGAATTTTATTTTTAGTAGAATTTCRTTTTTTGAGATGTATACTTTTAATTTTGATCAAAGTTTCAGTTTGAAATCCTTTCAGTACGTCCAAAAAGTGGTAAATAGTAGAATGTGGGTGATAGAACTCGGAATTGAAACGTGAATGATATGATTCGCAAGCATTAGTAGTGAGAGCTAATTACGCGATATTCGCAGCCCAAATTATTGGTGGAAATTTAGCCTCTTCACAGATATATTATGTTTCAACTAAATAATCGGCATATTTTTTAAATCTTATGTCATTAGGAATCGATGACATAAAATCTTCAATAAAACAGTTAGTAGTTACTGACCTCATTTGTAGAAATAAATGGCAACCCAAATGTATGGTTTAGCCACTTGCTTTCTTCTGTTTTATTATTTTTATATACGTTGGATAAAGCCTAATTCCTGAATTTTTCTATACCATGATTGAGTTAGGTGAAACCTACAACCAAATATTTTAGTGTTGTCCCAGACTTGTCTCAATGCTATATGAATTGCTTCTTCAAAATCAGATATAAATAAATTTGGTTTCAGAGAAAGTTCACGTGCATTACACAAATGTATGATAWTTTTAAATGAATTTACGTAAGTTGAAGTTTTTTTGTCAGGAAGTAATGCAAATAAAAGTGGTATATAATGATCATTACATAAGCCATGCAAAGAAAACAATTGCAATAACTTGGGACAATATTCAAAAGTTCCATCCATGTATATAATCTCAGATTCRCATGGAACTTTTAACTTTGTGTCACATGAAAATATTATTATATGCAGTTCGGATCATTTATTAATAAAAATTGCTTATACTATTTTGCAATTCTYCCATTGTTTTTGGTAATGGTGGCACCATTTTTCTACGGGCGTTATAAATATTTCGTCGAACTAGTGATATATCATCGGTAGTGATAGTTTGTAAATTAGATATATTTTCAGAAATTTCAGTT